GCCATCACAGGAATAAATTACATTTTAAAACATTAAAATAGAAAAAACATTTTTTATTGAAATAATATTTCACAATATCACTTTTTTTTCTGTACTTTTGATCAAATAAATGCAACCTTGAACATAAGAGAGACTTTTTTCAAAAACATCAAGTCTTACCGACCCCAAACTTTTGAATGGTAATGTACTGTATATGAAATAAATATTTTAATTGAAATATTATTAAATAACAGGTCTGTGTATCTGTTTATAATCTGAATTTGTTCTAAATCAAAAACTGATTACTTCACAGACATAAGAGAACATATTACACAGTTCTGATATTGGATATGTAGTTTATTTTCTACTAAGAAAATACATTACTTTTCTCAATAATTTTTTTTATATAAAGTCATAGTTGTGGCGTAGTGGTCAGTGCACATTCTTTAACACATTGAGCTGTGGTGCTCAGATAAGTGACATGTTTGAATCTCGCCCATGACCTGATTCCCCTCTTCTTCCCAGTTTCAAGGAAACTAAGTGCCCAGGAATTTTTTTTATGTCACATGATGAAGATTTGATGTCACAATCCTTCCACACTTTGGCAAATCTAGTGATTAGTCTTTCCAAAAATAATAATTGTAGCAACCCACTATCCTGTAAAGGACACGCATAAGACCAGCCAATCAGATTAGAGCTTGTCCAACCGAGAGAGTGCGTGGTGTTATTGTGTGTTATATACTTCGGAGTGTGAGTGTGCCATCTGAGATTGCGTTCATTGTAGAACTGTAGAAGCACACAGACATTTGAGGGAATAGCAGAGGCAGGGGCCAAGTCTTCTGCGGTCACTCAATACCCACCCCTGGGCTGCCACCTCCAGGTGCGTTCTGGGATGCATTTCTCCGATAAATCATTTACAGTGGCTTACAGTCCCTCAGGGCCCCAGATAAAGTTTGCCAATCAAAACCTGCCCATGCCTAGAGTTTAATTTTGACTTTGGAAGTGAATGTGACTCCCAGCGACTCTGTCAAAGTTTTAAATGGAGAGCGTCAGCAAGAGAAAGAGTTTTCTATGAGAGAGCGGTAGAAAGCAAGGGAGGGTGGAAGAGAGAGAGAGCGACAGCAGTTCCCTCTCCTCTGATCGCGTGCCAAGGTTTTGATGAAGAAAGCAAACGCACATCCTTTCCGACTGGTAATTCGGAGCAGCTATTGAGCAGCACTCGTTTGCCCATTTGTCTATTTATTTGTTTGTGAACGTGTTCGTTGGGCTTTTCTTGCTCACGTGCCCATATTTATTGACTTATATCTCTAGAACTGCTACATGATGAAGTGAGTGAATCGGACGCGCAGAGGATGAAAGAGTTGGCAGACCTCCAGTCTTCCCAAGGAAGCAGCTCTTTCTTTTTCTTTTGCTAACCCTCCCTTCTTTTTTTCCTCTCCTCCCTGAGTTATCTCATCTGGGCACGCGCTCGGCACAGGAGAGCTGCTGTACGGAGTGGATACGGGGGGCAGCTGGCCAGCACACTCTGAGAAAGTGAAAAAAAAAAAGACATTGAGGGGGAAACAAGATTAATTTAAAGGAGAGGAAATTGCACAGCAT